GCCGAATGTTTCTGCGAGGATTGACTTACTTGTGTGCTACATCACTGAAGCCACCTGCAGAACAAGGGCTTAAGCATTTTGCATCTGGAAAGCTATCACTCCAGAAGGAGTAAGTGCCTTGTTTGGGGTTGTGAAACTTTCTTGGGGTCACGTTAAAAGGGGGCTGAAAATTCCTAAATCGGAATTGTGGCGCCAATAAGGCTGTTTTATGACTGGCTACGTTTTATCCATCAGTGTGAATACCTGGAAGAAATTGCCGCTTATAAACTCAAGAAGATCAAGCGTCATGTAACTCAGTTAACTGAATCAAGATGCAGGGGCGAGCTGACCCCCCTACTGAGGCTTCATGAAAAACGAAAAATGGAAAGAAGTCGGGACATCGTTGTTCTCGTGGGTGCAGTGCTGCCTGAAGGCATTGAAAAGCTACTACGAAAGGGACCAAACTACGCGTGTACACCAAGGGTTTCCACCCATGACCTGGTCGGCCTGAACAGGAATCTCTCAGCCAAGGCGAACCATGATCGAGAAAGATGCCTGCTAGACGGTATGGACTGCATCACCAAACGTACAGCTCAAGTTCCAGATAGTAGCTGTAGCAGAAGATTAAATAGGGTGGTGTCATTTTTTAAGAGGCAGAATTTGATGTTGGTACAAGATGACAAGGAGGATGGGTTTGTTGTTACTCCTCAGGGTTTATACAATGAGAAGGCGATTAGCGCTATTGACAAAAATTTTTTACCTTTTAAAAGGAGTGCTGTGCGCGTAAAATAAAAATTTACTTGGTTCTGTAGAGAAGTAGGTTTACCTACGCTAGCTAGCACCCTAGCAAGCAGCAAAAACATCAACTTGAATGTGTTTTTTTCCGCGAAAACCCACACAGATGACATATCTTTTATAACCTTCGTTAGCGTAAGGGGTTCATGTCAGGGAAACATTAGTAAGTTCCTTTTAAGCAAACTAAACACGCTTTATGTGAGTGATCCTTTCCGCACCAAGAGCTCCAGTGATGTTGGTGATTTCATTTGGTCTAACAAGCAGATTTTCTTTGCTTTTTCAGTAGATGTTGAAGACTTGTTCTATTCTGTTCCTCACAATAAGCTTTTAGGCTCTGTCCAAAAGTGCCTAGAAGATAACAGTGGGCTTCCTTTATGAACAATGCCGGCGTGTCCGTTGAGAACTTTTTAGCGCTTTTAGAATCGTAACTTAACGTCACATTTATTACCTTTGACGACAAGCCCTATCTACAACGGCAAGGAATCTCTATAGAATCCTGTGTCGCCCCAGTTCTGTGCAATATTTTTTAGCAGACGTAGATAGGACATTGAATAACTTTTTAAGTGGGGGGGAAGGTTTTGAACATTTTTAGATATGCTCACAACTTCTTAATTCTTTTACAAAACAGGAGCCCTATACACCCCCGATAACATTTTAAATTTTCAAGAGTGTGGTTGTACCTGGACAAGTGTGTGTAGTAAGGATGCCTTATATGAGGTAGAGCGTGTTTATTGTGAGGAAGTGTTAACCTTTTTTAAAAAGCACGCACGTGGACTTAGCTTCACTACCGAGGTACCCACAGAGACATGTCTTCTGTTTTTATACATCAAGCTACGATGGGACAGTGAGAATTTTTTTTTGTAACACCATCCTCGTGTGAAAGAAGGGGCTGTTGCAGTGATATTCTGCGCATTCTTAGATAGTACCATCCTCGTGTGAAAAAAGGGGCTGTTGCAGTATGATTCTGCGCGCTCTTAGATAGTTAAAAAAGAATTGTTTCATTTTGCCTAGAATCTTCGTTGACTAAGTCGTGTCCACACCACACGCCTTCTAGTTTTTATGATGAGATCAGCCGACCGACTGTGGCGGGGTTCCCTTCGTCGGTCATAAACACGGTCGCCAAGTCACTACTGCAGAAGATGAAACGTGGAACACAAAGGGATGAAGCTGCTCGGGATCCTTTAGGGCCCGAACCACGAGTGCTGCCGTACTTGCACAAGCTCTCCCAAACTTTAAGAAGGTCGCTGCTAGGCATGATGTCAATGGGGGATGATTCCACGAGAGATTGACACGGGTCCAAAAGTTGATGTTTTATATTTCATTGAGTATTTTATATTTCGTGCACCTCTCACCAAATAGCCCGAAAGTCAACTTCGTTTTTGTGATTAACGGCATAACTTACGAGAAAAAAATATCAAACTTCACCATCATGGAGGCACCAATATCGTCACCACTCATTTTCGAAAATTGCAGATGCTATAAGAAGACAAATATTTTTGTTTCAAGGAAGATATTGTTTACCTGAAATGCATTTCTAATGAAGAATGAATTCATACGGTTTCAAGTTGGTAGACCTTAAGAAAATAGCTTTTATTAATGTCTAATTTTGTGACAGTTTGAAATAAGTTACGTATTCCCTATTTTTTTTCTCCGAAAGTAATGCAAGCAGCGTTTTCAAACTTGACGCGTTTTAAGGATATAGTGTGTTCATTAGGTACATAAATTATTGCTTCCGTAGGGGAAATGTAAACTTTTATATATTGCCTTAAAATTATCATATTGGCAAAAAAGTACTCCACTGAAGTTTGAATATTAAAAAAACCCCATCTTGGATTTTTCTTAAATTCCGTAGATAGACAACCGAAGGCCGTCATACAGTAATATAGAAAACATGTTGCATTATTTTGTTTTTAGCGACAATATTCGTGGTACAAATCAGAGCTTTTCGAGAATGCGCTGATAAGTTGAGAAATCTAGAAATCGTAACGGAAAAGTGGCAATAAGCTTCAAACGTGATTAACCGTGACCGCATTTGATGAAGAAAGGCTGTTTTAGCAGATAGGAGTAACTATTTTGAACATGGTATTCTACAGTATCTGAATTCACTCTTATACGTAGAGCAGTGAGTCTTCTAATATGTGGTGCCTCTCCATTACTGACACACAGATGGAGCTGCTGTGACGGCCATGTGTTTGCAACACGTTGCGTAAGAGAATCGAATGTTTAATGAGTTCATAAACGATTCATAACAAATTTTTATCATTTGGGGCACGAAGACTGCCGCATTAAACTGAAGAACACGCTTTAGGGCAAGTTGTCATCCGTCGTCTGCTCTACGGATGAATTGCTGTGCGCCGCATTTTGGAGGCAATGCTTTAGATCATAAGGTTCAAAGTAGGTACAAAGATTACGCCTCCAGTAATTTTATCGAGAAAAACATTGTGAAATTCATTTTAACGTACTATACTTCTGTTTTGCATTCGCACTGTGGATTTTTGCGCACAATTATCCTGATGAATCAATGGCGCCTCTCTCGCTGCCTGTGTCATTGTTTTAACAATATTGTTACGGTGCATCATCGACAGGAGCAAGCGTGGCACTTTATGTAGGCGTTGGCGAAGGTTGGTGCTCAATACAGAAATGTGCGCTCCAGCATCTATAAGGAAAGAAATAGCTGCACCATCAACGTCAACATCTAACAAACTTTGTCTCTTCGGAAGCGTCAAGAGATGATTTGTAGAGGGAGTCGAAAAAACAGCGTCACCTCCAGGCGCTGCAACGCTTAGTTTTGCGGGTAGGCAGGAGCGGAGTTGAATGGGGACGATGGCATGCGAGTCGGCGGTGAGCGAGATGACTGGCCACGTCCTGCAGGCGAACGCGACTGACGACCATGCGGTGAAGGAGATCGGCTGCGGAACCTTCTGTAGTTGTTTGGCGAAGAAGACTGCGCCGCAGATGCAAAGCGGGTGCTGTTCTGTCGGTAGTAAATTTCAGACTACGTCCGGGGTGGTGAGGATCAGCGGTAATTGCAGTACCGGACGACATGAGCGATACGGTGCCAATGAAAGCAAATTGTTCAATTGTCCACGGTTCTCCACGCAGCAAGGTCGCGAGATCGGGCCGTAAACTTCTGCTCATGATAGGACGAGAGTGGACGCCTTGGAGCTCGCTGCGGGCTGGGCAAAGCGCACACCAAGGGAATACCCATGCTGGCGAGTTCTAGGCGCACGATGGCTTGAACCATGTTAGCAGTGAGTGGGGTCGTATCTCTCGTGTGGGCCGCAGCAGAGGCAATGGCTTCAAGTTTTTCTGTACAATTCGGGTCAGCTGATCCGATAAATCTAGAGGTGGCGGCTGTGTTCTTGCAGGGTCTTCGCAAGGCGACGTTGCAGCCGTATTCGGAAAGCGAGCAAACATGCTGTCAATCCACAGGCTCTTCGCTTGCTGAAAGCGCCGACATTGTTTTATAATGGCGTTCACTGTAGAATAAATTTTGCAGATGAGGAGATTGAATGTGTCATTCGCAATACACTTAAGATAATGTCCGAACTCGTTAGCCTCCGGCATTCGGCATTCGCTTTGCGACACATTGCTGACACATCTTCTATATACGAGACTTACGACTCCGTCGAGGTCTGCGCCCGAGACGCAAGCATTTTGTTCCCGGCCATTTTTCTTCCCATCGGCTTTCCGAACAGGTCCAACATTTTCTCCCTGCACACTGCCCAACTCCCAAGTTCTGCTTCATGGTTTTCATACCACGCTTTGGCGGTTCCTCTAAGATAGAATAACAGGTTCACCAGCATAAGAGTCGGGCCCCATCGGTATCGAATACTCACACGTTCGTACTCTGTCAACCAATCTTCAACATCCACTTCATCTCGGATCGCCGGAACCGTTAAACCAGCCAGGATCCCGCGGCGTTCGAGCACGAAAGTTGTGGTCGCAGAAGGAGATGCAATCAAGGAACATCACCAGCAGCAGGAAAACCAGGACCAGATGCAGACGCCATAAGTTCCGTCATCGTTGCGAAATGATTTTTAAATGACGGCCGCTGCGAGGTTCCGTTGCGAGGTGGCTTCCCAGCACGTCCACCAAATGCACGTAGCAGTATGAATCCACAAAATGAGGCTTCTTTACGGCTTGAACAAATATACCTTCAGACTTTTTTCGTGTTGGAGGTTATTCAATTTCAAAACAAATAGGAATATCATCAATATTCTTACGTTCGGAGTCGGAGTCCGAGTCCATTAAGAAGGCATATAACTCGAACGCAGGGTTGGATGAGTGCCAGGCTTTCGCCGTTCCTGAGACTGTGGCCCATAAACCTGCATCCTCCTGGTGGAAGAGATAGAGAAGTAGTCAATGTTTAAAGCCGTCAACATGGAGACCTATACGTTAGTAACACCACGAGTTAGACATTTACAGGCACGGTAATTTGCTTTATTTTAGCGTGATTGGGATTCCCCTCGAAAGCACCTTGCCACCTCTTGTTGTACGCTGCACGGTGTGTCTCAAAACTTCACGATGGCTTCGGACTGTTCTGATAATATTACGCGAACGACATGAGTAACTGTTTTCATTCGAGTACCCCAGACATAGCACTGAAAGTTTTGATACGGACCCTAGAATAGCGTTCCACAGATAAACAGATGGCTTGACAGCTGACACCCCTGCTAGTTTCATGTCACTATTTCAAGCCTTTTCTATTGCCAGATGAAGCCTTTATTTTTTACCTACTCGGCTGTGCTCTTTTCTCCAGCAAAGCCACGCGACGATATAAGGCCTATCTTGTAATCTTCAGTGAAAGAAAAGATGTTGTATCAGTAGCAATGTACCTCTCCAGTGTAGAAACACATTGTCCTGTTGTCGCCGCTTTTGGTTCACCTCTGGGAGAGTGGACTCGGAATAAATAGGGGTAGACTTACCTCAAATAATCCCTTGCATTCAATCCTCACAAACTTGTAAACAAACTGTGCCCACTTACACACATAATAACCAGAACAGTGAGCAAGAAATTCAGTTAGGTGTGTCACAGATTGGGAGCCTATGGTCCACTGAGCAGTATTAAATTCCCGGCATGACGACAAAAAACTCCCTCTCTCCCCTTTCACTTTTTAACTGAATACTGACATGAAGGTTTTGACGTGGAATAGGGTTTCTGATAGCATGGAAGCTATTTGAGATTGACAATTCATGACATGATCACACAAAATAAACAAGAACTATAGTCTTGTGCGAAACCTGTGAAAAAAAAACCTGTGAAACCCTGTGAAGAAACGTAACTTAAACACTCACCACCTTGACTACAAATGAAGCTGGTTAACCCTCCCAGTTTTAAACGTACATATATACCCAGAAAAGTGCACAATGGGGCGCTCTCTGTTGTAGCTCAATCCGTAAAAGGTCAGACTTGTAACTTGAAAGTGGTGTGCTTGAATGCCACCGAAAAAAGGCGCTTTTTTCCCCGCAAGAACTTCGAAGGTAGGCCACAATATTTAGTTCAGAAATAAAAAACATCAAATACAGTGCCCATTGCTCTTTTTACACAAATTTTCTTTGCTTAATTGGTTGGCCCTACAGTCAGTTCTTCTCATGTGCTTGTATCTTTGAAGATGTATGAGTACAACTGGCAGCGCTTATTTGCGATGAAAAAAGCCTCGTTAACAATGCTCTCTTTTTTGCTCTAGGCGTCTGATTTGTGAAGGTCTATGAAGAAGTATGCGTAGATTCAATCGGCTCCAATTGAAACAGTATTAGAATGGAAATAGGCTCATGAAGACTCAGTATCCACTTTCTTCACAGCGTACCTTTTATACGCACTAAGCTAACGGTAGCATAAACAGGGTAACTTTCTTTTCTGCTGCACGCGGAAGTTAAACAAGCGTGGCAGACGCTTGTTTGACAGGTGGCGAGAAACTAAAGTCAGCTGGCAAACGGGTCGGCTAAAATGCCGTGAGGGCCTTGAGTTGGGATAACCTTTCTAAGTTTAAAACAATGCATGTAAAAGTTCTCAACTTGGGCCGCACATAATAAACTAATGCATCGTAAACAAATGCAAAAGCCAGAAGAATTCTGGCTTTTGTCACAACAATGGAGACAGCAAAACCTGTGGTTTCAAAAACAAGAAAAGAGTACCCATCAATGTCACTTACTGAATGCCGTATAGACTGGGTCGGTCGTCCTCTAGCATGGGGCTGCAGTAACGTACTGCACCAAATGTGTGAGGTGTGTCGTTGCCAGGGGCTAAATTTCTGATCACTATTTTGTTTGGTTCGTTATTTATATGTTTTGAATTTTTTTGCAGTTGTGGTGTCTGTTGTTTACTTATGAGGAAAACTGTCAACGAGTGTGACTACGGCCCGTAACGAGAGTGCCACTGCGCCAAACCGCAGCGTAAACTGAGCTGCGTACAGTGCTCTGGTTTGAAATACTCAGCTCTATGCAGCTTCACGCTGGTCAAATAGTGCCGTCTGATCCTTCGACCACCGCTCTAGCTCTTGCAATAGAGATTAGTCACCTAACACTACAAAGAGCTTATAGTGAAGAAAATAAAAGGCAAGTGAAAGGCCGCGAGGTTAATGAGAAGAAAATTTCCGGTTGGCTATCTTGCACTGTGGTGTATTGGAGTGCATAGGCTGACAATAATAAAAAGGTACATCAGTTATGGTGCCCAGAAAAGCTATATTCCCTTAACAAGCACACACACACACAGCCACTCCCCACTAACACTGGTTTATCGGCTGGGACAAGCTCTGAATGAAATTCGCACGAGGTGAACGTACACACAAGAAGGACAGCGAGGCTGGAACGCCGTCGTTCCGTTGTAGCGTTCACTATGTCTCAAATATGCAAGAATACTTTCTGTCTGTCACTGGCACGGAGGCGAAAGTTTGGCAAATGCAACGTAGATTGGGAATTGATGTTTGCATGCTTGCGGATGTAAGGTGAATCTGCTTTATTTTTTCATGGGTGAGATTCAATGAAGAGGTGATAAATATGTGTACAAATGCACGCACATGCATACGTTAAGCAGGCGCGTGTGATTAGCCGTTGTTTGCTGTTGCGTAGCGATGCTGACACTAACATATATATATATGTTGGCAACACCAGTAGCGGTAAGCTGATATGAAGCATGTTGGCACTTGTCCGCGCGAGTATGATTGCCCTGTATCTAAAATTGTATAGCGAAAGTGCAACCACAATCAATGTTACATGGACATAAGGGTCTATATGAAGAGCATATCGGAAGCCTGGCATGATTATATGGTAGAATACTGCATTGCCACGCAAAATGCAAGGGTGTGATTCCTGCTAGGACACGGACTATTACTGTTTGAATACGTCCGGTAAACGCCGCCTTTGGCAGTCTTTTTTAACGCTCAAGTGTTAATGTTACGCATGTGTGTTTACGCCGTTCCTGGATAGATATAAAATGTCACCTGTGGCAAATAACTGCAAACCAGTGGCACATACCTGCCCCCGGGTATGTCATTGTATTTGGAAAGTGTTTGACGATATACACTACGACATTGTCAAATTATTTATCTTGGGACCAGAACGTTGTGTTCGACAAACCACCTTACCCTCCTGTACTAATTTTTTGTACTCAATTTAATGGGTATCGTGAGAGCACTCAGACGTAGATAAATAGATAGATGCCGAAAAAGCTTGAAGTACGCAAAGAAACGCTTCACATTTAACATTTTTCTAATACATCTCTCAAACAGCATTATACAATAATACACCTCTCACGCAACAATGTACAATAAAAGAGTAGATAATGTGATCCTGTGATGATACGCTTGTTTTTCGCATTATAATGGCTCCTCTATTAGACGAATCAATCACTTTTTTTCTTTTTACAATCTTCGTACAAAACTACGCGGTACTGTGCGAGCGTAAGATCTTATGCGTGAAACATTTTAAAAGGCAACTCAGCCAGCCCATTTTGTCTCATATCAGCAGCAATTTTCACTAGGTATAGTATTGCCCTTGACAATTGAAAATACCATTGTATTGTATACCTAATGTTTAAATGACAAAGCTGATGAAAATATACGTCTACAAACGCAGTAAATGCGCCCTAAAATATATACACACAGAGGCCACTTGTTACATCACTGCTAAGAAGCCTATGAATCTAATGTCGGATACAGGCTTAGCTAATGAAGTGCTGCCAAAGCTAAAACAGGTAATTTTTGAAGAAACTTTGAAGATTAAATTTGACCAAGAAAGATTGAGGTGACATTGGGTGTCGTTTCCGCCCCGCCGCGGTGATTTATTGGCTAAGGTACTCGACTACGGACCCGCAGGTCGTAGGTCCGAATCCCGGCGGTGGCGGCTGCATTTTCGATTAAGGCGGAAATGTTGTAGGCTCGTGTGCTCATATTTGGGTGCACGTTGAAGAAACCCAAGAGGCCGAAATTTCCGGAGCCCTCCACTACGGCGTCTCTCATATACATATGGTGGTTTTGGAACGTTAAACACCATATATTAATCAACCAATCAATCAATCAATCAATCAATGGGTGTCGTTTCAGTAGTAGTGTAGGAAAGTGCGCAAGCAATTCTTCAGTAATAATTACTGAAATAAAATATGGCCAACAATTTCCTCTCCATGGCCTAGTTGTGTCGCAAAGTACCTTTGAAACAAAAATTAGCCAAGATGGAGTTTTTTTAGCATACAAGCCCGAAAACGTCCCTGCCACAATTATTTACTCCGTGTTAGGGGATAGACTCGGCACATATTGTCGTAATATGCCCGTTGTTTCATGACATAATTTATTAACTTTTCATGGAGTTGAAGGCCACGTGACTAGAAACTCCTTTGGAAATTTAAATACCCTTTTTTGTCGTCACGTGCTTGCGTGCGTGTGTGCGTGTGTGTGCGGCCACATGTTTAGCACACCAGTGTGAAACTCAAGTGCAATGTGTGGTTGATCGTGTGAGCGTCTGTCGACAGAAAGTGAAATTATCAGTGCATCAATGGTTTGTAATGACTATTGGTTGTTTAGTTTGAACGTTTAAGGTATTTCGCACCGTTGAGCTATACATCTATTCAATTCATGCACCAGAGCGCCGCGAACACTTCGCTTCAATGTGGCGAGTTATGAAACGTTGCAAAGAATAATTTAATGCTAACAAAAGTAAGCTCTTGTGATCATCAGCGGTTGCGCCTAGAATTCACCATCTGAAACTTTGAAGTGATACGAAGTAGGCTTCGCTAAACCTCTACAAGCTGGCTGGCAGCCCGTCTGAGATGTGCGCTGGTGCCATGCTTTGCCCTGACCACTGGTGGTGGTTGCTTTGTAGATTTTCACTGGTATTTTACCGGCTGCAACCTATAAGCGACGAGAAAGCCTCGCTACGCCATCGGTATCCAGTCGGCGGTATAGCGAGCTCTCACTGCCGCATAGGCCGCCATAGCGAGCTCTACGAGCTAGCACCGGCCACCAGCAAAGCAAAGAATGTGTTTCACGAAAAAATAAAGACTGGTGAAGTAAAAACAATTTATATTCTTTTTTGCGCCATGCGGCTGTAGCTGCTAAATGACTAACGCGAAGCCGAGCGCCGAACAAGACAGTTGTACACACAAACGGCGTATGGAATCTCGAGCAATTGGAACCGCGTCGACGAACTGTCTCGTTCGCTTAAGTCTATCGCTGCGTATCTAAAACTGCTTGAAGAGCGGACATTTGTTTTTTTGCGTGTGAAAAATAACACCGACAAAAACTGTAGAGCAGCAAGCATTTCGTGATCGCCAGCTTTCGCTCATCGTATAGCCATGTCGTGCTCCTGAGTGAGGACATGGTGGTAGAACGTGGTAGCAGCGGTGTCTCGTTTTTTTTTGCCGGTGCTGCTCAATGTTCTCCTTTGATCTGTTCAAGCATGGCTGCTAGACACTTTTTTTACAATTGGGTGTGTTTCATGCATTCACACACAGTACCACTATTTCAAATTCAGCCCATGCGACAGGGCACCAGCCACTTATAAAGTTTCACTAAAGTTGCAAAGCAATAAATAGTAGGCAAATTTAGAATAAAAAGCATATGCTTTGGATTGCTTCCTTGAGGGCACAGCAAATTACATTTAGGTTGTGAATGTTTAGAGAATAATTATTTGTAAACAAAATGTCCCTCCGCAACTACATTGAAGATCAAAATACGGTGCCTATATATACCCGGGGATGGAAGTTTGGCTGTGCAGCACAAGTGGCATGCTGGGGTCAGTGCGCGTGCTTCGATAATACGCTAACGTGGAGTGTATATTTGTGTGCATGAATCAACATTGTGTGGTACGAAGGTAATTTTATTGAATTTACGCTTCAATTATTTTTTTTCAGTAGATGTAAAAATTTCTTCCCACACAATCCCGAAAAACTACCCCAATGAATGCAATAAACACTCCTCTAAGTCAATCTTGAAACCCCGTCAAGTTGGAGAGTAAATTGTTTACTCTTTGCGAACCGTGCTTATAAACCTCTCATCGTGGTGTGTGCTGGAAGACAAGCTGTTTACTCCTATGTTGACTCGTTTTTGCTTACAATGTATTATTCTGAGCAAAATTCATTTTGATGTACAATCGTAAGTTCCGTCGGCCACTACAAAGCATTTTTTGCTATCTTTTTAACACTGTAAACTAAGATGCTGGTATTTCAAGTATATAGCTGAAACTCTTTATTTCAAGCTACTTTTTAATTATTCTTACTCATTGTGTGGGATCTCGCAATGCACCCATCACTTCCAACAAGCATAACCTGTGCCGTCAGGAAAAAAACCGTTGCGAAAATCTTCATGTTATTGGAGGAACGTTCAGTTGGTCTTGTGTACCTGTGAAAAAAGTTCAGCTGCATGTAAAGTATTCTAACAAGCAAAATGTTCCACTTGTACGAAAAGAAAAACTACATCTAGAGTAGGTATACCATGAAACTACTATGTTTCAATTGCGTTCTATTCTTTCTGAATTGTGAATTGTGTCACCTGTTTTACCATGTGAAAAAAAATATACCAATTTCACAGACTTAACTTTTATGAGCTCCCAACAATGACCTACTATTTTTGCAAGTGCTTTATTTTCATTTCCTATTAGAATAATTTATATACAGACATCTGGACAGATAGCATGGGGAGGCTTGTATTCGGCTCAGCGTTAATAATATGCATACAGGTCAGTGCAGTCTTTTACATATAGGTTTAAAATTAGGTAGCTTAACATACAAATAAAATGGTTTTCACGAAGTGAACCAGAATAGTTATAGCAGATACTTCAGCGTTGATGATTTGCAAGAAAAAAGAATTTAATACAATGCCTAAAGTTACGTGCGGTTTTAACCTTCAAAGGTAGAATATTTAGGACTTTAGTTCTATTGATTTCAAACAATCTTTCACCGTATACATTATGCATTTCGGTAAATTCAAATTGCCTTTCAGCGCGTCTGTTGTACTGCGCAACGAAAAACAAAACACGTTACGAAAAATAGCAAAATCAGTGCTCATAACCTACTACATGAAATTGAAACCTTAAGACTACACAAAGGTGAAATCAATAACACTTGCTGTGTCTGAGAATTGTTGAAAACTTTATCATTGCTACTGCTAGGGTTAATTATTTTCAGTGTTTTTTTTCTGTAATTTTCATAAAAGTTATACGAATGTCTTGTAAGTTACACCCCATCATTCTAAACAAACACTGATATGGCTACGGCAAAACGCATAATATAGAGATTTGAGTATTTCACGGGAAAAATATTGCCTTGCTCTAATTAGGTGATAACATCCGCACGTGACCTTCCTGCACACGCTCTGAATATGTGCTTACCAATGTATATGTTGGTCGAAAATGACGCCCATATATTTGAATATATCAACTTTTTGTATAGGGCTATTTTTTAGGCTGATATCGGCTGGTGTCAACATCATTTTTTATTGGGCGGAATATTACTCGTTTAGTTTTATTACTATTTAGAGTTTGTTTTGAGAACACAACGAAAAAATGCTTACTAAATCAGCCATCGCTTTTTTCGCAGTGCTGAGAGCATGTCACCCGTAAATAACAAAGCTCTGTCATCCGCGTACAGTAGCGCGTTAGAGTTGCGTAGAACATCAGGAAGGTTATTATGGTATATTGCAAATACCACTGGTCCCAACAATGATCCTTGTGACTCTTTACTGGTGACTGCGCTAGATGTTTAATAATAGTTGCCCACAGCTACCCTTTGTTTCCGTGAGGATAAATAGCTGAAAAAGAGTTGAAGCAAATTGGTGATACCGTGACTTTTAGTTTTCGCAGTAATATGGAGTCAGAAACGGTATGAAATGTTTTCCTAATATATAAAATATTCCTGTAACTGGCTTACTTTCGTGAAGACCTAGTTGTCAATCACCTCAGGCAGTGCACGATGCACATTTAAAAGAATGCCAGCATTCGGCGGAGATTGCTACCAAGGCCTTACACCCGCACTCTCACAACAGACATGCTGGTGCTCCAGTATTTTTCCAGAAAAAAGGCGGTACAGAAGTGCTATTTATGCTGCGGAATTACTTTAAAAGACGCGACCTATAGTCACAGGCAACTACAAGCGCAGCATGAGTCACATCACGTGAAAAGCGCTAAAATTGCATCGTTCAGTATTCCTGTTCTACCATTACCTCTACTATAAATTGTCATACCCACCTTTACAACTACGCACTGGGCAATTACATAGCTGCGCATCTCACATTAAAAAGTGTTTGTCAATCTTTCGCTACTTCGTGATCTGTTATTATTTAATGCACAGTCAGTACCTCGCCAGTCTACTCGCAGCCGGCCTCTTAACCAAGTTTTCAGCAGGCTGTATGCAGGCGGCTCTAACAGCTAGCGCTGTGACTGTCTTGCACACACAAGAGGCATATTGTTTCCTTAAAAATTGAAAACAATCCCTTTTCGCTTGAATCACCAATGACTTGGTAAATTATTAAAAATGAACAATATTGGAAGGTTCAACAGAATTATGTCTCTGGCAGACAACCCTCTATAATTAGAAATTTAAAGAGCCTACTTGTGCTCTTTAGCACAAGTAAGCTCTTTAGAGCTTACTCGACTCTCAGGCAGTGAGGCTTTCACATGCGATTATCTCTCTTGCCGTCGTATTGGGTATGATAGGATTCAAAAAACAAAAACTCTGTAAATATATTGTCAGTTTGTAGGTAATTCAGTTTTTTGAGGCGCAAAAGCGACTGAGGCAATGCTCTGCCAGACTCAAGGTGTTTCGAAATGGACATTTAAAAGGTTAAGTTTTAAAGTTTATGTAGAAAATATTATTCTTTTATGAAGGTGACGACGGCATGCATGGTTACTAGAGAATTATCTGCTAAAAACATAGATGTGTGTAAAGGTATGTGTTGTTTTTATAGTGTGCTGAAATATTTTTTCTCTAGGTTCCATTAGCGAGCCACTCATTTAGGTTGTGTATAACTGATAGCGGTTCTTGGCAGTTCCCGAATAGCAGTTTTTCTTCCTTTGCGAATAAAAAAGTAGTGTGTCAAGTGTGTGCTCTATGCGACGTCGGCATAATATGACTTCTATAAACTGTTCGTGACGACGGCAGGTCTTTCATTCGCCAAGTATAGCCTTCACTAAATGAAGCTTGTAACTCGGGCATAAGTGCCACTGTTATTGTCATGTTGCTAACAATGCTAGACTGATTGCGTGCACGCTGTATTCATGGTGAATTTTTACTATAGCAACTATTTGATGAGCTGCAATTGAATCACATTTATTTGTTTTTGATTTTCAGGTATTCCAACGTGGCTTGGGACCCAGCAGAACTGGATGGAAACTGCATGGCTTGTGAAGCCATTAGTTGGTGACATGTCACAAACTAACCACCTCTATTCGTGTTTTAAATGCAGCGCTTTTAGTGCAAAAAATGAGTCAGTATATATATTTGCTTTCTTGTATCTTCCACGCTCCACCGTGGTGGTCTAGTGGCTAAGGAACGCGACTGCTAACCCGCGGGTCGCGGGATGGAATCCCGACTGCGGCGGCTGCATTTCCGATTGAGGCGGAAATGTTGTAGGCCCGTGTGCTCAGATTTAGGCGCAGGTGAAACACCCCATGTTGTCGAAATTTTCAGAGCCTTCTACTACGGCGTCTCTCATATTCATATGGTGGTTTTGGGACCCTATACCCCATATATCAATGTATCACTTTTGAGTCTTCTTTTTCCAATATATATATATATATATATATATATATATACATATATATATATATATATATATATATATATATATATATATATATATATATATATATATATATATATATATATATATATATATATATATATATATATACATATTGACGCGTGTCTACATGTGGATGAAAACAACGATGGGGGATTCAGTGGACAGAACGTAGTGGGCCTCTCTAGCTTCACTCGAGACCGAAGAAGACGATCTTGTGGCTCAGCTGTTGAAAACACGCTGCTTTCGTTGCCTAAAAAAAATTTCATGACAGACTTTGCATCGGGGTGATGCTCTTTGAGAGGGAGGCAAATGACGCGTGTCTACATGTGAATGAAAACAACGACGGGGGATTCAGTGGACAGGAGGTAGTGGGCTTCTCTAGCTTCATTCGAGACCGAAGAAGACGATCTTGTGGCACCTCTGTTGAAAACACGCTGCTTTCGTTGCCTCAAGGTGTACCTCTGTTTTATTCGCGTTGTACCGCGACAATATATATATTGTCAAGACGAAGAAAGACGCTGGGGCTCGGGCGCGTGGGCAGCTAAGAGAAGGTAGAGGAAGAAGAAGAAGTCAGAATAACAACCGCTGGCCAAGCATCGGGTGTTGTCTCTTCTTCTCTGTCTCGCTCATTACACTGGCGCAGCGGATGAAGAAGTAGTCCTACGTCCCGGCTTCATAATCCAGGACAGCCGCGATAAGCGCTGATTGAGGCCTCCTTGGCAGCTGTTCACCTGCTGCCACCGCCACCACCGTTCGGGGACGGCGTCAAGGCCTCCTCGGCGGCTGAAGTACACGTTACCGGTACCATTTCACAAGGGTCGCCGTCCACGCGTCCTTGGCTATGGATTCTGCCGTCAGCGCAAGCCGACAAGTGAACCCTCTGCGGGAAGCTATCGGCACGTGTCTTCGTGGTTCGTCGGCAGTGCGGGCTTCTCCATCCAGGAACGCCGTTCACGCTTCTTTGGCGATGGAGTCAACAACCCGGCCACCACTTCAGCTGCTCATCGGACCATCAGTGGACGGTGTCCATACCTCTTCTGTGGTACGAGGGCATCACCCAATGGACACCATGCTACCACTTCGCGGCCATATTACGCACAGGCTCCTGTCCTTTGGGAATGTTGTTCAAGCTTCCCACGGCCTGCATTCCCTGTCCGGTCTTATTCAAACACATACGCCACGAAGAAACGCTGTCCATGCTTCCTTGGACGTGCGTGTCACCACCGTCAGTACTACTAGAACCACGTACTTCACGGACGCGAACCGAAGCAGTTCAGACGCCTCGTGTGACAGTGCCATGAGCTGCGGCGTACCATCGCACTGCTCCGCGCAGAGACTAACAAACTTACAGCATTGATCGCTGAGCGAGCTCCTACAATGTTGCCAGCATTGTGTGACATTAACGCAGTGTTGCATGTAGCTGCCTCATATGACCTTGCAGCAAACACACCGGAGCAATGCAGGGAGCTTCAGTCTTCTCTGATCGAGCTCTCACACCAGCTTGAGGGCTTCGCGTCGGTAATCTCTGCGTTGCCACCTGCCACCTCACAATCACCAGCCGTCTGTGAACTGCCGGAATTCCACGGGGTCCGGAACGACGC